GACGAGGCGGGGGACGACGACGCCGACCTACTGGACACTTCGGACCCCGCGGGCGGCGGCGAGAGTGCGGCCAGCCCCGAGGAGCTGGAGGACGAGGGTGCCGAGGGCGGCAGCGGGGCGCGCAGGAGGGGCTCCAAGACCTGCACCTACGAGGGCTGCCGCGAGACCACCAGCCAGGTAGCCAAGCAGCGCAAGCCCTGGATGTGCAAGAAGCACCGCAACAAGATGTACAAGGACAAGTACAAGAAGAAGAAGAGCGATCAGGCCCTGGGCTCCGGTGGCGCCTCGGCGGCCAGCGCAGGCAATGTCAAGCTGGAGGTATGCGCCTCGGGTCCCGGGCCAGGGCAGGTGGGTGCAACTCCACTCTCTACACAAATGCAGGGGCTCCCCCGCCTGCCCCCAAGGGGGCTGGGCTCATCTTCCACTCCCGGGGGGTAAGTGAGCAGACAGCGAGACCCCCAGCTGATGATGGCACTTTGGAGGTGATCTGCCCCTCTTGTCATTAACCCATTTCTACTCTCTTCCATGGGGCATCATGCCTGTTTACTTACCCTGTCCTCGGTTGTCAGTACCTTCAGTGCCCCTATCCTTTTCTTAACCCCGCCCCCCCGAAAAGTTGGATTATTAGTGGGGTGGTAGGTCACGAAACACTTTGGGGTTGCTTGATGTGACTCGCATGGGAGAGTAAAAGCAAGTGTACTCCGCAATTGGGGTTCTGCTGCTAGCGCTATGGACTTGGGCCCGTTATTCACCTCGCTTAAGTTTTGGCTATTTTGTTTGTTGGCCTTAAAACAATGCCCTATCAGTGCTTCTTCAGATTTTATTTTGGGTAGGTGAAAATTCTAATTGGTGTGCATTTCAGCTCATACTCAGCAAAATCAAAAAAATGTTTGAGCTGTTTAAAACAAACAAACAAAAGAATCCCTAAACGGTAGGAACACCCCTTATCACAAACATCCCTTTTGAAAGGGGAATTCTACCACTTGTGGAAGCTGGGCCTAGATGAATCAAAAGTATTTCTACTACAAGTGTCTTTGATTTTGTTTTTTATTTGATTTTGATTTTAACATCCTAAACCTACCTACAGCGTGCGCTTGACTGGGGTCAAGTCAGTCAGTTCGTGCTAGCATTCCGTGTATTGTGCACATAAACCAAACATCTCTGTAAATAGGGGTAACTGGAGAGAGTTAGAGGAAGATGTTTTCTTTACTTTCTGTGATATTAGAATCCTCTTTTATAGTTTTGAGATGTAAAGCATGTATGTATGTATGGAAGATTTTTCTAACCGAAGTTTGCTAAATATCTCATAATGAAGGGGGAAAGTGATATTTTAATAGACACTCAGGAGCCAGTAGATAAAAGGGCAAGAGAAAAACCAAAACAAAAAAATCCCAAATAAAGATAACACTGCCAGATCCATGTTATGCTTGGTCTCATGGAAAGCATTTTGTTTAGGTAAAGCAAGTTCTTTGCATGTGCAAGGCCCTAGATCCAACTCTTAGCCCATTTCTCTCTCTTCATTGTCACAGCGTGGTTTTATCAGGGGGCAGAGCGTTTCATATAACTTCAGCAACATTCTCTTACGTAAGGAAAAGCTAAGTATTTAGATTCTTTCATATTTGGGAGTAAACACTGCTTGTTTTTTATGGGATTTGAGGGCTCAGGTAAGGTTGCTGTCGCAGCTTGCCTGTTTACTCCGTACTGGTGACTTCACACCTGTGATTTCCAGCCCCTTCTAGCCCCTTTACTCAGAAAGCTGTATTGCCTGCTTCTGTAAGCAGTATTTTACTGTCTCCTTCACACCTGAGGGGTGTGAATCCGGTGTGTCTCCAGCATCTCTTTAGCAGTAGATTGCCTCCGAATTCATTTATTTTATCCAAAAGCAGGCAGACTGTTTTGACTTAGATTGTTCTGTAGAGAGAATTTGGTTTCGCTTGGCATTCTTCTGTTATATTGAAAACAGCGGACAGGTAAGCCCCTCTGCCCAATATCTTCAATTTGAGACCTCATAGGAGACTACAGACCCCTGTCTGGAAAGCCTGAAGGGAGGGGTTTTTCTCTGAATTAATGGCCAGCACCCTGCCTGTGACTTACCAAGAGACTTTCCTAAAGTTTCACAGAAACTGAACAAAAGGAAGAAAACCAAAGATGTGTTCATTATCACTGAAAGGCCTGCTATAATTATTGTAGATTATAATACCATGTTAAATGTTCTTTCATTGACCCCAGGAAAGTGCAGACAACATACTCTCCATTGTCAAGCAAAGAACAGGATCTTTCGGGGATCGCCCTGCAAGGCCTACTCTGTTAGAACAAGTGTTAAATCAGAAAAGACTGGTAAGTGTTTTCTTGTAAAGTAAATGCAGATCTGTTAGGGAAAAAACCTGCTTGTTCTCAGTGGAGCAGTTTTCCCTTTTTAAGACTGAAGTGGTTCACTGCCATCAGAAGTGCACAGTACTGTGCCTCTGGACACGCTGGTGATGCCCCGTTCCCCCAGGACTGCAGTGGAAGGAACACCCTGAACCCTGTTTCTTCACTGACTAATGTTTGAGCAAGATGAAATTCTAAAACACTCTAAATATATGGAATAGTACTGTAATGAAATTGAGATATAATTACTAGTATTTAATAAGGGTCTCTGATGTAAAACTGGTAGGAATGATCAGAAGTCATTCAGGAAAGAAGCGATTGATAAATACTGGAATATTTGGATAGTAATTTGAAGGAAAGAATTTAACTCATACTACATAATTTTTTGGTAGATTATTAGAAATTTTTTAAAAAATTGAATTCAGATTTCATCACAAAATCCACAATGAGGTATTATAATGTTGAAGAATCGTGAAGTAAAGATTTTAACTTGACAATATAAAAATGTAGACAAAGGCAGTGCTGAAAATTAAAACTGCAAAGTGACATAGGAAAAATAGAGGCAACAGATATAAAAGGCTGGTCAGTATGTTTATATTATTATAACATCCCGGCACTTGAAAGACTCAGGCCAGGGGTGTTGCCTTGAGTTCAAAGCCAGCCTGGCTATGGTGTGAGACCTGATCTTAACCAACAAAAAATATGATAATTCTATTAATAATCTCTTTTCCTTCTTTTCTCTTTAAGTCATTACTAAGAAGTCCAGAAGTTGTCCAGTTTTTACAGAAACAGCAGCAGCTATTAAATCAACAAGGTTTGGAGCAAAGACAGCAGCAGTTTCCAGGAGCTCCAGTGTGAGTGGCTCACCAACTGTGGTTTCTCTTACTATAATGGATGGATGGACTTTATACTAAAGGTGATATCCCAACAGTCAGGCATTGGTGGTGCACACCTGGAATCCCTGTACTTGGGAGACGGAGCCAAGAGGATCCCAAGTTTGAGCCAGCCTGGGCTACATAGCAAGCTTCTTTCTCAAAAAGAAAAAAAAAGAGGTAGAGAGAGGCTGTTAACAAAAATATTTTCCTATAAATGTGCATTTGCATTTGGGGATAGATAAGTATTGCATTTTTGCATCAAATCCTTCCAGATCGCTATGAGTTTGAAAAAAGTCCCCTTTACAGTTTTTTAATGTTTTTCTTCTTCAGTTGTGCATACTGGAGCTAATGAGGCAGTTACTTTCTGTGGAAGTTATGGTTCATAGTAATATCAATTCATCCGGTACCATGATTCTCTCCGGAGGCATGGAATGGAGTGTTTGGGGTTGTCGTAGAGACATTAAACATAGCCAGGCTGGGGTGAGGGACCAGGAATACTGAATGTTTTCAGGGTCTGTGCTATTCCCACAGCTAAGTGTTCCCTTGCCGTTAATTCACCTCAGCTGCAGCAATAGACAGCCTGAGGTCAGAGTGCCAAGGTCAGGTTCTCGTGATAACCGTTCTTTATAGTTCAGACAGGAGCCATGAGAGCTGAGTGTGTTCACACCTGTGAGACGAGTGGTCGTGTAAACTGCAGAGAGTGCACTAAAGTGGGCACCTTGGCTGCTCTCACTCTCCTCCAAGGCAGACCATCTCTTGAATTTGTCAGTTTAGATATCTCAGCCCACCAAGGCTTCATAAAGGAGATTCTGAAAATAGAGGAACACTCCACATTTTGTCAGTGGTTTTCAGAACTACTTTAACTCGTATTCCTAAGTACTATTTATTTATTAAAAGATTCATGAATTATTTTTTTTTACTTGCTCCTAAGAAAACTTTAAAAAGGCAAAAATACCATAAGATGAAGAATCAAATGTCAAGAGTGTATCCAGGAGTAGGTTAATAAAATGTGTCACAGGCTGAACTCTGCAGAAGTGTGTGGTTGATTCCTAAGCTCTGAAATGTACATGATGTTAGCTTACAGCTGTTATAGTAAGTACTCAAGGGCTGGGGGTGAGCTTAGCCTTAGAGCACTTGCCTAGCCTGTGTGGAGGCCCTCGTTCAAGTCCCTGCATCACCACCACAACAAACAGAGGGAAAAGGATGTTTTTCTTCATTTTTGTGCAGTACACCTGTGTACCTGAAAAAAAAAAAAAGTTTTGCCGAAATCATTCATTAAAGTCCTGTTTTTGACCTTAGATTTGTCTCTTGTACTTATTTCTGTAGTTGCTTCACACTGGCTATTCGTTCACTGTCTGGTACTGTTCTTACAGTAAATGGAGCTTTATTGTTTCTGTAGACCTGCAGGCCTTGCACTCAATGAGCCCATGGGCCACACGTGTCCTAGGGCAGCTGTGACTCTGCCCATTTGTAGTGACTGTCACGTTGCAGTACCGAAAGGGTGGATATCCCTGACAGAACTTGTTAACTTTTGTAGCAAAATAGCCCAGCTTATACTTCAGTTATAAAAATGTGACATCAATAGAGAAAATGAATAGATCCATGTTTTAAAAATCTGGAGATGGCTTAAATACTTGTTAAGCCCTAGAGTAGATCATCAAGGGCTTCAGAGTCTTTCTCTAAGGTGTTAAGAATAAAGTATATACCCATTCATGAATTTAGATAGGAATTAGGATAGTTTCCAATAAAGCTTAATTATTACCTGTCATATTGGAAATTTTTATCCCTTAAAATGTCTGTAAGGATCTTGCTTTAGAGTAGATGTTCTACAGCTATCCACACTCCCCCATTCTCTATACTCATGAGTTCTGTAGCTTCTTCACCAACAGGCTTTTCTTTACCTGACCCTAGTTCGGGAAATAATGGAGTGCCAGCCTAAAGATAACCTCTGAGCATTTTGAACATTCACACTTACATATTTAGACTCCCACCTAGTTACCATAGTAACAAGCCCTAGCCTGCACGGTGAGGTCTACGGTCTAATCTGTTATACTGTCTGATAACCTGACACATGACACCACTGAGGCTATGTGACATAAACTATCCATCCCTTGCCAGGTAAGTTTTATGCCAGCCTAAGGCAGCTAAGAGTCCAAAACCACCCTGTAGACCTGTCAATGCTGAACAGTTACTGAAGGGTTGGGATTGAAGGCTATGGAGTTTGGGGTGGGTCAAGTCAATATTTATGCTAGTGAGTAACTGATACACTTAGTTGTTAGGGTTATTTTTCACCAGATAACAAATTTTAAAATTGGTGAACTTCATCAGAGAAGACATAGTAAGCTCTTACCCTGAAGGAAGTAGATGTGATGGTGGATGGATGGAAGACGCTGGAGGTTTCAAGAAAAGAGAAATGCACCCAGCCCCCATGATTTAAAAATAATACAATTTCCTCCAGCATCTCCAGAATCAGCCCTGCCAGCACCTTGGCACTGGCACAGAGGGACTGATTTCAGACTTGTGGCTTTCAGAACTCTGAAATACTACTGTCTTGTGGTACTTTTTTTTTTTATCAGCAGCAAGAAGGGAGGGCTTAACTCATTAGGCTCCATGAACGGCTTACCTAGAAATGCTAGGTTTTTTGTTTGTTTGTTTCTGAGGGGATATTAGCCTGCATACCAAGCCACTAAAACCACAAGTGAAGATACTTTTAGCTGCAAGAGTGTGGATTACCGAGTTTAAAAGGCACCCCAGTGTTCTAAAACAGTTCTGATTGTACACTATGTAGCCTCCGCCCCTTACCAAGGCTTTCTGAACCCCAACCAGCTCACAGCGGTTAAAAGTTAGAACCAGGAGGACAACTTGGGCAGGGGAAACACAAGCAGCTCACAAACACTTCAAGTCATCCGCAATCGTACAAGCTTCTCTTAGAAAACAGTTTAATCAATTAGACATATTTCACGGCATATGAAAAATAAATGATTTTGAGTGACAGTTTTCCTTACACATCCAGGTGTTTGACGCACCACCTGCTAATGCTCTTACTATATACACACTCCTTGACTAACATGCACAGTGCTGAGTCGCTAAGGTAGGATGCTCAACTGACGATGTGTATTAGGTTCACGTTTTACTTCCAATATTTCATCATGCAAAGGTTTATTTAGTTGTGGCCTGGCGCTAAGTTGGGGAGAGGTTGTCAACCACCCCTAATTTCAGTAAGGTATCCTTAAAATTACACATAAAATGCTGATTACTTCAAGATCTCTTTTTTAAAGTGCCGCCAATGTTTTTACAGCATGAAGTCTTAAAATCCCATTTTCCTAGTAGGATAGCTTATGATTAAGCATCTTAAGGAACCACAGATCACATACATAGAATTGCTATCTAAAGTTCGAAAGAAAAAAAACGAGCCCAAGATGTATTTACAGCATTGTCTACCATGAACCACCAGATGTGTATAGCATTTTCAAGACAGAAAGCGAGGCTGCTGGATCAAAGGCATCTCTTGGTGGTCTGTTCTATACTCATTTGAACTTATCTTTAACATATGTGAGGGTTACCCACCCTGTACAGTTCAGCTGCTGAATCCTAGCAGCTGAGAAGATGTGGAATGCATGGAATATTTTTGCTTTATTAAATATATACATAAAATATCTGGAACACATTCAGAATTAAGCAGGAGCTTGACATCCAGTAGGCGATGTTTATAAAATGCTTTTGCTACTGTTCTTCCTGCTGTCATTATGGGGATAACTCGATCCTTAGACTACAATGAAAAGAGGATTCTAAATGCTAGTGAGGTTGCCACTTTTGCTGGCTATGCAACAGAATACCCAAATTGTTGCTAAAAGGCAGCTGGTAACATTATCACCTGGCTGAAACAAAGTAGCCAGGTCTTATTTTTGTGAAGGCTCACACAAACACTGACTCGGACAGGGTGATAAGCATCCAGCCTCTTGTGGGCAGACCAGACCCGTGCAGTTCTGCATTGCATGACCCCCGCCCAGGACAACTGGACCGAGGTCTGCAGTGGGTAAGGACCTGGCCTGCCCACTGTCCTCTTGATCCTGCAAAACAAAACCACGCAGCGTATTTTTGCTTGTCTGTTTCATGGACTGTATGTCAAATGGTCAAAGGAGTCTTAAGTATTACATTATGATATTTTAGATCCCTTAGCAGTCAAAGGAGGGGGGGAACCAATTAAAATGTGACTATGTTACATAAGCAGAGGGCTAGCATCTCTTTAATGCTAAATTCTCTGATGGTATATATGCACCTACGTCCTGATTCCTTTCTCAAAGAAATCAGGCACACTTAGATATTTAGTCTGCTTTCTTAATATTGCAAGGAAGTCAATTGGTTTGTTTCATTTTTTTAAATTTTGTTTTTAAGCTTCCACTTTTGTTTTGAGACAGACTGTCCCTTTTGTCTTGAGACTCACTGTGTAGTCCAGGCTGCATTGAATTCACAGAGATCCACCTGCCTCTGCCTCCCCAGTGTGCCTCCACCACATCTGGAAGCTTCTACCTCTGAACAGTGCAGTAAAGCTACATTATCGCCAGAGGGTGTTTAACCACTGTGGAAGAGAGCAAGAGGACTGCTGGACATCTGGGACAAATACTTTGTAGCCTTGTGTGGCTACTCAGAAAAGATCTGCCATAGCAATGACTTCTCCAAAAAACGAAGCTGGGGGAACTATCAGGAATATAGGGATACAAGGAGGTGGGGTGGCAAGGAATAAGAGTGGCACTTATGCAAAGATAAATTACCTAGTTGTTCTGAAAAGACATAAAATTTCAACAGAGTAATCATTAAGAACTTGATGACATTTTTTTTTCCAAGCCCAAGAAAATTTGCTTGTGTGGATCTTAAAAGTTCTGAGATCTGATGTCTGGGCAAATGACTTGCTGTTAGATTTGTGGCCCCCTGGAAGTGGGGACTGCCTCTGATGTACATTTGATTCCGCGGCACCTGACATTGTACCTGGTACACACAAATGCACGAGGCAGACTGCATGAATCAGTGAGCTTGGATCTTTCTACACTCTAAGTGGGCTCCCAGGCTTTAATGCGAGACAGAAATGATATGTATATATCATACATATTTATGATATATATATGATAGGTTTTATAGATACAGTTAGGCATTGTGAGTATAACTTGTCATATATCTATCTTACATACAATTGGATGGGAGCAACAAATGCATATGCATTGATGCTAGGTAGAACAGATTAAACGAAGGAAACTCAGATTCCAGAAGCTCTATCCTTCACAAGCACAAACACCATCTTAAAGAATGTGCTTCACCAAAGGGCATGAAGTAAACTTACAAGCAATGTGGTAATCATCGCGAGGCACATGCCATGAAATCGGAAGGAAATTTTCCCTTTATCATCCAAAGACAGAAATAGCAGACTTTAAGGATACATGCACAGAGCCATATGCACGTATATACACATTTCTAAAGATGCTCTCTTGTTCACTACCTCTGTCTCCTCAAAAATGTAGGCCAGATGAAGCATCCCTACTGCACTTGGGAAGTTATATCCAGGTGTTTCAGCCAACACAGGTGCCAGGCTAAGTACTATATAAATATGACCCAGAGGGGCTTCTAGATTGCCCCGAGGCTTTGCTGTTGTTTTAATCATTGAAACTAATTATATTTGTCACCAGGCGGCAAGATGTGGCAAAGGGGTGCCCTGCCTTGGAGGCTTCAGTCTGCGCACGTTGGACAGTGCAAGTGGCCACACGATGCTCCTCCCACCTTATACAGCTCTGTCCCTGCACAGGGCTTGCACATAGTGTGCACAGGCAGACACGGCCATCCGCAAGGCTACCTGGCCGGGAGAACCGGAAGCTGGAGCCTAACTGGAAGCAGGAGCCCTCTGTGCTCCTTGGGACCGAATTCTGTTCTAACACTCAGGGTCATGGCTCCTCCAGGCTGTTTCCCCTTATCAGTCTCTTTTGTTTTTAAGCAGCGGTGACGTGACTCTAAGCTTCACAGTTTCTCCGTTTCCAATCACAGTTTCAATCTGTTTAAACGTACCGCTGACGTCGGCCCAGAAGCCGGCTTTGCCTATTCCAACTTCAGAGATAGAGTTTCTGAGGTTTATCCCACAGATCACTGAACGAGTTTGATTTTCTTTCTTGCCATTCACATTGAAAATGAGAGCTTTGAAACTATGTAGATTTGATTCGGTTTTGCTCTAGTGCTCCTAAACACTATTCTTTTATTTTTCTCTTTTTCTTATTGTAAGCAGCTTTATGTTTACACTAGCAGGCATGACATTCTGTACCGTGACAAGCTGACTAGAGTGGTCAATGCCCTTCACATGCTGTCTCCCCTCTCACCAAAGACATGGCTTCTCATTCTAGCACTGGCCTGGAAAACATTCTTCTTCAACCACACTGTACTAGTCCCGGGTTAACTAGTAGCACACACACAAAAAAATAGTGATAAAATGTGAATAGTATACATTATATGTATTTACATCTGCATCCAAAAGCTTCCGTTGGCTGCAGGAACCACTGCCTGCATCTATTCTGTGGAAATGTAGCCGACGACGTGACTGTTAAGACACTGAAGAAATGGGGTTATGTGGGGAGCCCATCTGAGTTAAAACCTTGTCCAGCCACTGCAGTGGTCCATGAAGATGAATCTCAATCCAGCAGGGGGTGCTTGTGACATCCTGACGATGATATTCAGCTCCCCAGCCCTGAAAAGCAAGAAAAGAGCCCAGAATGAATTGTGCCTCTTTGCCAGGGGTTTCCTAGTTAGAAGTGACCCTCGACTCCCACCTGGATTCTGTTAACAGCTCCTTTAAAATATTTTTTTTAACTTTTATGGTTTTATTTTTGTGTACGAGTGTTTCGTTTGTTTGCATATCTACGCACTACGTATGTGCGGTGCCTACGTATGTGCGGTGCCTGTAGATGTTTACTTGTTTACATAACTATGCACTAAGTGTGTGCAGTGTCTGTGCAAGTCAGAAGAGGGTGTCAGATCCCCTGGAACTGGAGTTATAAAAGCCGCCATGTGGGTGCTGGGAACTGAACCCAGGTCCTCTGCAAGAGTAACCAGTGCTCTTAACCCCTGGTCAACCCCTCCAGCCCCCCGCAGTGGCTTCTAAGCAGCCTCTCTCACGGCAGCCCGGCACACCTTTTCTCCACTTAGCAGTCAAATGGCCCTTTAAAGGCAGACCGGAACTGGGTGGGTGCTCCATGCCAGTCACACCAGCAGGAGAGGGAACAGAAGCAGCAAGAGGCAGAGCTCAAGGCCAGCTTGGGCAACACAGAAAGACCCTGTGCCCAAACAAACAAAAAAACAAGTCTCTCAGCATCCCAAAGCGCTGATCTCTGCCTGGCTCTCAGGAAATGCTCCAATCTCTTTTGCACCCAACTCCTCCCTGCCCAAGGCTGCAGTCAGTTGGTCCGGTTTCCCTCCCATATTCAGCCAGGGGCTTTCTCCACCCCTATGGCTTTCCTACATGGGACCCAGGACCTTCTGGCCTCTGCCGGCACACACTACTCCCGCGATGCCTCCCCGCCTGTAACCTCTCTATTTCCCTTTATCTGATTCATTCCGCTCGCGTGCTGCTTGTTGCCTTTCTCTCCCAGTATACTGGTTCCACAAGGCAGAGAGGCCTATGAGTAACCAACACTCAGGCCTGGGAACTTCCCAACTTCAGGGCAGCACCTGGCCCGCCCCTGGCAGCTGCCCAATAAAGAGTTGTTGATTGGCTGACTGCCGGAGAGCTATGGCCAGTAAAATCACAGCTGAAAAAAAAACAAAACAAAAACAAAAAACAAAAAACAAAAACCTTTCAAGATGTTCTGCACTTTCACCTACAATGACCAACACCTGTGTCGGGTCATCCGTAAAATTTTAAACTAATCATTGCCACTTTTTATTTTGTTTAAGTCCTTGCAGGGCTAGCAGTGAATCTCAGCGCTGAAGTGACTGCCTAGTCTGTGTGACCACCCAAGGTTTTGCCTCATCATCGCATGGAGGAGGAAGCAGGAAGGGGGTTGGGGAAGAGAATCTCTATGTATGTTTGTATTACAGTAATTACCTATGAGATACCCACAGCTCATCCTCATTAAAAAAATATGGACTCAGGAAAAATCACTGTCCCGTTCAAGGATGGTTCACTAACGGTGAGTTACTGCCCCCTGCTGGCTGCAATGCGACAGTGTACTGGACATTTTCCTGCCTTGAAAGATGAAAAAAGCTGGCTTGTCCTCATAAAAGGTCCCTTTAAGACGTTTTCCCTGGTTTTCAAGGCAGGGTCTCTCTGTGTAACAGCTCGGGCTGTTCTGGAACTCATAGAGAGATTCACCTTCCTCTGCCTCCCAAGTGCAGGGATTAAAGGTGTGTGCCACCACCGCTCAGTTTAAGAACTGAAAACTATATGTGCTGATCCTTACTTTTAAAATAATTACTAAAATTATCAGTATGATACAATATAATTTGGGTATAGAAAAATAAGACAACCATTGATCATAGTAACTAACTTTTCCCCTCCACCTCAAGACAGGGTTTCTCTGTGTAACAGCTCGGGCTGTTCTGGAACTTGCTTATGCAGAACAGGCTGTCCTCAAACTCACGGAGATCCGCCTGCCTCTGCCTCCCAAGTGCTGGGATTAAAGGCGTGCGCTACCACTTCCTGGCTATCATTTAAATGGCTAGTAAAACTTACTTTAAGGCTAGGAGCGTAGCTCAGTAGAGGGCACTTACCTAACTCAATCAGGAAGCCCTGGATTTCACCCCCAGTGCTGCTTTTAAAAAGGCAAATGGGGCCTGGAGAGATGGCTCAGTGATTGAGAAGCACTGGCTGTTCTTGCTGAGGACCTGAGTTCAATTCCCAGCACCCACAGGACAGCTCACACAACAACCTGTAACTCCAGTTTGGGGGGGGGGGGTGTCTGGCGCCCTCTTCTGGCCTTTTTGGGCCAAGAATGTTCATGAATTCCCCCACCCCTGACTGAAGACAGTTGATGGCATTTACAGAGGGTAATTTTCTTTAAGGCTGTGACCCCTGGATGGTGGCCTGAACCACACACTATTTCCTTTGGCTGGCCCCACACCCAGGAATATATGAGCAGCTGAAGTTGGACTAGATAATTAAAAACAAACAAACAAACAAAAAAACAGGGCAAGAATCAAAATTTTTAGAAGAAAAAAAACCAAAGTTGTTATCCGTCTGAGCTGGCTGAGCAAATGCCACGTCCAGTCAGGAGCATTTTGCGCTTCCTGCCCATTTTCCTCTTTACAGCCCCAGAGCCAGCAGCCTCACCTTCACAAAGCTCATCCGAATCGTGCACATCTTGGTCAGCTCGTACACAACCTCAAAGCCGTGGTGCACTGACTGAGCGAGCAGCTGGGCGAAGAGCTGGTTGTTGAAGACCTTGAGGCTGCAGCCGCTGGGGATCTTGCAGACAGTGGCGGGGTGGAAGCCGTGCTGGTAGTTGCAGTTCCGGCTCTGGACGAAGATGCTGCTGTCGCTCACGCATTCTGCATACACCTCGCCCCCAACGTAGTACAGATGCACACCTGTGGACACAAAACCCACACTCTTTCTACTCGGCTCCCTTCCTGTGACTCCTAGCACCTCAAGGGATGGGAGCCTCTGCAGTCAGGTTAGCTCTTACACCATCACTGGTCATAGAAGAGGTGTGTGCCCCAAATATCCACTTGTTTCGACTTTTTCTATAAATCCCCTACAGAGTTCAACCTTGAGGGCTGCAGAGACAGCTCAGCTCTCCGCATCCAAATTGCAATTCACAACCATCTGCAATGAACTGGTTCCAGGGGATCTGTTGCCCTCTTCTGGCCTCTATGGGCACTACATACACATGGTACATACACATGCATACATACAGGCAAAACCCCCATACACATAAAATAAAAACAAAATTTTAATTTATTTTTATTTGATGTTCATGAGGGTTTTGCCTTCATGTGTGTCTCTATGGGGGTGTCAGAGTCCTGGAACTGGAGCTACAGACAAGTGTGAGCTCCATGGGGGAGCTGGGAATTGAACCCTGATCCTCCAGAGGAGCAGTCAGTGCTCTTACTCACTGAGCCATCTCTCCAGCCCCAAGGAAAAAAGAAATGTAAGTTCAACCCACATGAATGGACTTTCATAAAGATGAGTCTGTAGTCTCTCACTTATGACGGCTCCCACCCTTTCTGATTTCACTTCAAAAAAGCATCCGTGACCCTAGTCTCGACACAATAGAAACACATCGTGCAAAACAAAGCCATCACACCCACATTTAACAGAAGCCCAGCTAATATCATGTAAATGCTACCGAAACCCACACACTGAACCTACTCCAGAACTTGAGTCTTACTAACAGTTATAAATCTATTGCTTTGAAGCCCAGTGTGGCGGCACACAGCTTCAGCCCCAGCCCTCAGGAGGCAGAGGCAGGTGAGTTTGAGACCATTGTTCAGGCCAGCCAGGGCTGTACAGTGAGACCCTGACTCAGCACTGAAATATTTCTGTGAGTAGAGGCTTCAGAGTTGGGATTCCTTTCAGAGGCCTGTCACTCAGCCCTGTAAAGAACACCATGGGCCCCGGAGAACAGGGAGGCTCCTACCATACTTCCACAGTAAAGAACACCATGGGCCCTGAGAACAGGGACGTTCCTACCATACTTCCACACACAGTCGTGTGAAACCACGAGCCACATGCAGCTTGTCTCAGTTTATACAACATTCCTGTAATTACATTTCAAAACGACATCCTGGGTAAACAGAGTGCCATACACACGACAATGGAATTTTATTCAGCTGCAAAGAAAGCATGAGATTACAAAAGGATGGAGCTGGCGATGATCAGAAATAAGCCAGATTTAAACAAAATCCTCCACCATCATTGCTGCCACCGCCGCCGCCGCCGTCAAATCTACCACCGCCACCAATGCAGCCATCACCATCACCACCTTCACCCCCCACCCCACCCAGTCCGTCTCCTCTTTTCTTTTCTCCTCTTACTTGCCCTCAGATTTCCTCTCTATTATCTTCCCCGATGGGCATCAGGCCTGACCCCAACAACTCAGGCACTGGCGACCAAGAGGAAGTGCAAGGATGACTCTGATTGGCTGAACCGCCAGCAAAGCCAGCGCTGCCGCCCTTGGCCACGCCCGTGCACGAAGGGGGTCGGTGTGACCGACTGTGACTGACAGTGATGGGACGTTCAGTTGTACAGCTGAGCTCAAAGCGGTCTGTTCCGCGCTGTCCAGAGCTCCAGGCATCTTGATAACGAGCCAACTTTTAAACGGTCTGCAGAAGAGAAGGCGACGGAGGCCAGGGGAAAGCCAACTGCAAGCTTGGGGGGCGGGGGCGGCTGCTGTGTTAATGGGTGGGGATTCACTCCACCTGGCTGCGGTGAGGCAGCAGGGTTCTCTGAGCTTGGTCATCTTGGGCTCTCCCTTTTATGGTGGCACCTCCCTGTGTATTCCCTGCACTTTAGAGCACAGGGGCATGCTACCCACCTCTGCCTTTTGACAGCTCCTCTTCAGTGTGAGTGTGCTATCTCTCCGCCACAGCAGAAGACTACAGAGACACTTGCTCCTTGACCCTACAGACCTGAAAACTACTGGGAACAGCCTGGGGGTGGGGTACTACAGGCTTAGAGGTTATTTTAACCAAATGACCTTCAAGCGTATAATCCTCCTGGAATCTAGATTTTTGCCCCCTGAGCCTGGTCTGTGTGTATTAGGGGGTGCTTCTCGTCCATGTTAAAGCCTCACCTGCAAACCCTACACAAGTTGGCAGAGGAGAGAATGGAAAGGTGGGCACCTAGGGGAAGAAGCAGAGCCCAAGGTGGAACATGCAAGCCTGCTCTGAGTATCACAAGAGGACAGAATCCAGAAGCAGGCTGGCCTCTGGCTAGAGAGGGCAGCATCTCCAGAAGGAGCGCTAGCCATGTGGTTTCATTTGGCCCCTGGGTGTCAAGATCACCTCAGGGCAGATCTGTTCTCAGGGTAGAGCTTGCATAGAAGTTACTTGGTGGGATAGGGGGGCATTCAAAGATGCTATTCACTGAGCCATGGCCTAATGAGGGAGCAAGGTGCATTTCAGTACAGATTGATGTTGCCCTACGCTTCCTCCTGGGGAGCCAGGGCTGGGATCACAGGCCTGTGTCAGCTTTTGGTTCTTTACTGTGTCTTGGCCTCGCAGCACTGACCCCATGCCACCCCGAAGATGGCCTACTGACTTCAGAGGCGGAGACCCCAAGACAACCGGTCCCTCCCCATGCCTGGATATCTTGCCACAGGCTACAGGGCCTATGCTGATGTCTAACCCAGCGTTTAGAAGCAGTGATGGAGATACTGTGTTGGCTCTCACCTTTTCCAATGTGCCTCCTGGTGTTTTCTATTGTTGAGTTTCTGTTCACATTTGAAAGAAGCCCAAGACAGAACCTATTCCTGTTATTGGAAGGGTCGGTGAAGCCGTCTATGAGCACGCTCCGGGAGGACGCCTGGAAAGTCTCTCCCACCCGGTTGTTTAGTTCATAGTAGGCAACAGAGCACCAGTGCTGGGGTTCCTCGTAGCAAACTGGCCGAAAGTCTGAAAACAAAACGAGAGAGAAGGCACGCCATCACTGTCACCTCTCGGCGCTGAAGGTCATGATTCCAAACAGAAAGCAGGGATGAACACTTTAAACCAGAAAGTTGGCTGTAGGACCAAGTCCGCCTTCCCTTGCAATCCGTCAAGCGCACGTGTTTGACGGAAGCTGTTTGGAGCTAGCTCATTTGTTTATTGCACCCATGAGTCTAAGGCCATTGCCCTTGTTAACTGTCCCACAGCTAAGACATCTGTAAATATTTTTTTGTTTAGCGATGTGATATGATGCAGGGCCAGGGAAAGGTAGCCACGGACAGACTGATGTACAATGCTGCCAGTCCCAGAGTAAACACTGCTAGCTGCTAGGTGGCCTCCTATTGTTACAGGACTGAACAGAACCCCTGTGTCAGAAGGTGTAAGTCCACAATAACATGACTAAAAAGAAACCGATAGTTTGAATATGATAACCAAATCGAAAGCGCTGAATGAATTCTAGTGAGGAAAAAAAAATCTAAATAGACTGGCTCACATTCTCCTCTATAAAAACATAGATATCTATTGACATATGATCTAAGAATATTTCACAGAGAGCTGATTTCTCAGCTTTGCTGGGGTCTGTCCAGGGATGGAAGGAGGTCAAAGGGTAACCGGGTGGAATGCAGTCAGCGCAGACGGTCTTTCAGAACACAGCTGTGTTTTAGGCAACTATGTCTCTTATAATTTAATTATCCTGTCCTTTAACCACTGACCCAAATACTAAGTATCAAACACACACAGGAAATTCTCTATGAATGAGCAAGCGTTTCAGACTCCCCGTTGGACACAGAGGAGAGGAACAACGTAATACAAGGTGATACATGTAAACTGGGTGTGTAAGGATTTGTTAAGGGAAAACATGAAACACACCCTGACACTTCTTATCTCACAACTTATATGTTCTTTGAGAGAAAGGATGATTTTTGTTACTCTCTTAATTCTTTCGCAGCAACCTAGGGCAAGGCTTTATTTACTTGTTCACTTAGCAAGAGTTAATAAATATACATTAAATAGGGTCTATGAATAAAAGAGCGGGGCAGACTGTAACCGTGGGTGCCAGCCTTATGTATGCAGTCTTTGTCCACTCTAGTTATTAGTAACCGCACACTTTAGCGGCTCCTATATATCTTCCCTTTATGTCTCCTCTTCAACTTCAACGCCAGCTTCACAGAGGCGGCAGCACACACACCATGGAGACACATTAGAGCGTCTCTCCCTCTTGCATATGCTTTTCCAATACAGCACGAAACTCCTAAAATCCTACCTTCAGTAGCTGTCTTGGCTTCAGAGGAGAGAGAGTGTACCGGCTGTGCTGGGGGCCTAGCTTTGCACACCACTGAGGTCACGTGCCTGGCACTGAAAGCAAAAGGCGCCTGCCTTTGGGTTGTTCAAAGAGGAGAGCAAACAACAGCCTAACTTTGGTCCCACTGTGGCCTGCTCTCGGGCCAAATCTCACTGATACCTTTAGTAAGTGAGTTATTACTGTGTATGCACAATGTGTGTGTAGAAGCCACAGGACAACTCTGGGGAGTCCATTCTCTCCTTCTACCTTTATGTAAGTTCTGGGGACGTAACTCAGGTTGGTAGGCTTATGTAGCAGTGCCTTTACCTGCTAAGCTATCTAGCCAGCCCTTTCTTTTAGTATCTAAATTTTTAATTTTTTATTTGTCATATATCAGTATGTTAATATTACTTCTACAGTCAGCAAAGTGGCACAGGCCTGTAACTCCAGCATTGGGGAAGCTGGAGCAAGAGTATGGTGGGTTCGGGACCAGCCTAGGCTAAAAGAAGATCATGTGGGGTTTTTTTTAATGATTTATTTAACTTTTTTATGTGCATTGGTGTGAAGGTGTTAGATCCCCTGGGACTGGACTCTCAGACAGCTGTGAGCTGCCATGTGAGTGCTGGGAATTAAACCCAGGTCCTCTGGAAGAGCAGTCAGTGCTCCTAACCACTGAGCCATCTCTCCAGCCCAGATCATGTTTCAAAACAAATAGTAATCGCACATTCTGTAAATTTCCAGGGATGGTATTAAATTCTATTTAGTTTCTGAAGGAGGACTGGATCCCAAAATATGTATCTGCAGTTCTACTCCCAAATGGGCCCTGGTGATCTTGGAGGGTGGACTAGGCCCACAGATGGCGCTGTAAACCTAAAGGCGCCACAAACAGGCTAGATGCGACAACCAACCAGACTTACGAACATCCACGGTGGATTCCCTTTCCCACAGACTGACCTGAGTGTTGAAATGGACTGTCTGACTCGGTAGGACTTCCCGGGGAGTGTGGGTAGCTGGCGGGGCATGGAGACTGCGGGAACACGTGGCCTGGCGAGGAGGGAGGTGCAGGACAGAGGGGTTGCTGGAAAGAGTCCGGGTAGGTGGCATTGTGCGGCATGAGGGGCTCGCTGTGCAGGGAGGCACTTCGGAACTTGGCCAGGAGACTGAGTTGGGGGTTGTACTCGCTGTGTCTTGGTACCAGTACCGGAGGCAGAACTAGGAACAAAGAGAAGGAAAATGGGCACCCTGAGCATGGCCCATCAGGAAAGTGGGACAGCAAATGTTTTTCCTTGGCCATTTGTGATGGTTTCCTCGGCCAGCCCCCTCTCTACAGATTGGCTCATGGGAAACTCTGCACGGAGGTCCCATCTCTACCTAGGAGCTTGTGGGCTACGCTCAGTCACCAGCCCCTCCTTGCCACCTGCATCTTGAGCAGTCACAACCGAGGACCAAGTTCAGGAGGCTCCCATGCACGCCCACCTTGATAATGGCCTCTAGTGACTTTATGGAGACCCATGTACCCGCATCTTACTTCCACTCTGTCAATACAATCCTCTTTAAAGGAGGCAAAATTAGTTCCAAATGCTTGCAACCAAACCTTAGGTGAAGTCCAGAATATTTGCTATTAGAGACCACACTGAATTATTCAGATGATCAGCCTCAATTCCAGACTTGTTGCTGTTGATGAAATATTCTATGTCCTTACCACAATGATCTAAAAGCAAGTGATCAAAAACTACAAAGTTAAATATAAGGGATAAGCGAAGAAACAAAGTAACAGATCAGAGGACACATTAAAAAAAAATCTGTCAGTTAAATTTGTTCAGGTTAGTGGGTCCCTTCTGGCCTCCCTCCATCTCCCCAGTACTGAGATGGAGTCCACAGGCCTCACACAGGCTAAGCAAGTGCTCTACCACTCAGCCACACCCAGCCCTCTTTTAACTTTAAGACAGGATCTGCATAAGTTACCCAGGTTGGCCTTCAACTTAGTAATCTAAGCAGGCACTGGCTTGCATCCTCTTGCCTCGGCCTCGGAGTAGATGGGCCTGTGTGAGCCTGGGTTCCAATCATTACAATGAACATGAGTGACAGCTGCTTACGGCAGGCCAGCAGCCTGCCTGCGGCCGGCCAGCAGCCTGCCTGCCTTTCTGAATTACTCAGCAAAGAGTAACTTTCCTGTTTCCTTTCCCCACTCAATGGGCGTGGCTTTCTCTTCGGGCTTTCTACCTCCGTCCTCTGGACAGCTGTCAAGACCAACAGGTTACCTGGCCTTGAGATTTCTTCCAAGTCCGCTCCTAAATTATTTTTATTAATGAGACTAAGAACCCCAAAGAAGGAACCCCAGGTCTCCCAGTCACATGTGAGGACCAGATGGGATCCTGAAAATGCTCAGGGCAGAGATCTGACCGTAGACTTGAGGTTCTAGCGGGCTGTCAAATTGGACAGTTGTTGGTTACCCTAAGATACAAGTGCCACAGTTGTATTCTTAGGGGTATCATGCCAGGCTGCTCATTGTTGGGGTCCATAGGTTTGCAGCTGGGTAGGCCCACTCTTCTTCCTGAGAAGCTTGCACACCACCTTCAGATACTGAGAAGCAGCCCATAGGGAGGAAGCTTTCAGGTCAGTTCCAGCTCGGTACCTATAAGGAAAATCGCCTCATTCTATTAAAAAGGTGTTAGGAATGGGTTAAAAAAAAACTCTGTAACAAATATTATTTAAAATTAATATTATAGGTGATTTTTAATTAACATAATCTTGGTCCATCTTCTTAGAAATTTAAACCTAAAACCAAGGACATAAAAGCTATCTACATACATGAAATAATTCAGACTGTCATCTTAAGAGAAATCTAAACTGAAATGAGAAATGGGGACGCAAATAATATTTTTTTAAATTGGGCTTTTGAGTATCTAAAAGGAGAACCAGGTACTTTTTCACACGACACTTCTTTTTTTATCTATATTTTTTATTGTTTTTATTGAGCTATACATTTTTCTCCACTTCCCTTCTTTCCTCCCCTCTCCACTTCTACCCTCTTTCGTGACCCCCACTCTCCCAATTTACCCAGGAGATCTTGTCTTTTTCACCTTCCTGTGTAGATTCATGTATGTCTCTCTTAGGATCCTCTTTGTTGTCTAGTTTCTCTGGGGTTGTGAATTGTAGGCTGGTTTTCCTTTGCTCTATACGACACTTCTTTCTAGTGGTTACATTTTAGAACCGTGACTCAGAAAGTACTTTGGAAAGATTTATTTTCTAATTATGTGCATGCTGGGGAGGGTTTGTGCAGTTGATCACAGAGAGAGTTAGATCCCCTAGATCTGGAGTTACACCCAACATGGGTGCTAGGAACCAAACTGGGGTCCTTTGCTAGAGCAGTATGTGCTCTTAACAGCTGAGCATCTCTCCAGTCCCAGAAAGAATTTCTGTTTTGGGGGGTGGGGGGAGGTGGACAGGGTTTCTCTGTGTAGCCCTGGCTGTCCTGGAACTTACTGGCTGGCCTTGAACTCACAGAGAACCACCTGGCTCTGCCTCCTAAGTGCTGGGATTAAAGGAGTGAGCCACCACTACCCGGTCAGAAAGAATTTCTTAATGAACATTTTTCCATTTAGAAACATGTTTTGAAGGTGTAGTATAACCCATATTTTCAAGCCAGTTTAAAAATAATCTCAGATATTATTAATGAGGTTTTGTTTTGTTCAGGATCGTGTTAGGTGGCCATTGCTGTCCTCAAGTGCTGGGGGTCAAGTCGTGGGCACTTTCAGATTCCTGGTATGCAAAGAGAGTCCAGAGAGAAAGAGGGAAGGAGACAGGATAGCATTTAGAGTAAACTCATCAGATTTGCTAATAGTATGGAATCTTCCAGTTGCCTTCCCAGACAGATCCCAATCCCTGTGGGCAAACCACACAGAGGCGATGTTCTTAATGACAAGATGGCAAGTTCGGGGAACTTAAAGGGTGCCTGGCAGCCGACCTTTGATGTGGGCTGGGTGTGAATACAGTGGCTTCCACCCAAACAACACAGTGGGACGGGGCAAGCTTTCCAAGTTCCTGGAATTGGGCAGGTAGCCAATCAAAGAGAGGTTTCACCCTGGAAGACCACAGGAACACCCATCCCAAAGAGAGCATTAGTAAAACTGCTACAGTCAGCAAAGACAGATGAGAGTTCTTTCAAAGTAGGGAGATATATAGAGGGACACACACACGTGCACACACACATGCACACACGCATGCATACACAAGCAAGTGTGTGACGGGTTTTGGAAAAGTAATTTTCTGTATTTAAAACATTAAAACCTTCAGTATTTTTTAGGGCTGGGAGTGGAGAGCAGGTCAGGGGCAGAATACTCCCATGTCTACGCCAAGCCCTGGGTTTATGCCAAGCAAAGGAGGAAGAGGGCCGCTAAGGTGTTGCTGAGCGAACATGAAGCCCTGGATGCCACTCCAACAGAGCCATATTTAAGAACAATGGCCCACCTTCCTCAACCCCTTATTTCAGTACTGGAATCCTTCAGCAATCCCCCTTGGCTGTTTCAGACTGAGATGGGATGCCTTCCTCCATGTACCAGAGATCAGCAAATGGAGCCCACACCCACACCCTAGATCAACTCTGATAGCTATTGGTTTCAGTCTGCAAGGGGTGGGAGGAGGGAGGATGTTTAATGTGTCTTTTTGTTGTTGTTTATTTGTTTTTACAGTTAATCATTATTAAGGCACCGCTTGAGAACTAAGGCAGATAGCCAGATAGCCCACACCTTTAATTCCAGCACTTAGGAGGCAGAGGCAGGCTAATCTCTATGAGTTTGAGTTCAAGTTTGAGGAAGAAGAAGGAGGAGGAGGAGGAAGGAAGGGAGGAAGGAAGGAAGGAAGGAAGGAAGGAAGGAAGGAAGGAAGGACGAATGAACTAGGAAGGGCTTAGATCTCCTAAATCCATCCAAATAAAACTGCATTTTCCAAAATCCTAGCAAGCTTACCAGCCTTTTAGTATAAGACTATCATAATTTTCCAACTGCATGATTTCGGAACTATTTCTTCCGTGTCCCCCTCACCCCCCACACAGAGGTCACTTTGTGTGGATGCTCCAATACCCAGGGAACCTGTGATGATCTTGACCTCCAAGCAAGCAGGGACTCATGGAAGCACCCACCTGGCGTCTCCACGCGGCGGTAATGGTATGGGTTGATGCAGACCTCCTTCTGCTTGGAGCCGAAGGGGAACTCACAGCATTCCAGGGGCTTCAGCTCATGATGGGACTGCAGGTCTGGCCAGCGCCACACGCGGCAGTAGATGACATGGGGCAGCCCCTTGCGGTGGGACACCTGCAGTCGTCCATCCAGGGACCTGGGGATGGTGACACACTTGCTAGGCTGGCCTGGGCAGCTCAGCGCCCTCTCCAGCTCATCCATGGCTCCTTTCTTCTTCTTTAGCTTCTTCACCAAAGAGTCCACGGCCTTCTCTGCCCACTTCTCCTCTTCATCTCCCTGCTTCCAGCCCAGCAGCCTCTTGACTGCCGGGCTGGTGAAGGAGAAGAGGGAGCTGATGGGGGTGCTGGGGTGCATAGGAGGCAGACCTCAGGCTGCTGCGCACGGAAAGAGGTTGAGGCCTTTCAAGGCTGGCAGGGCCCTGAGAGGACCAGCATCAAGCACTTGTCCATGGATGTCATAGGAACAAGCTTGCCTTTTCTTCTAGAAGTGGAGGGGACAGATTAAAGTTGGAAGGTGGAAGGTGGGCTGACTTCCTCCAAAACCCTTGGGTGGATGGGTGGTCCAATTCTGAAAGACAGGACAAGCATTCTTGAGCTATATGAGTAATTTTCAGACTAGGCAAGCAAGGACAGAAGAGACAAATCACCCTCCCAATGTTTTAACCTGGAAACTCCTTCGGGTCCTTACTGACCCTGCCCTCCTCTTCCTTCTCCCAGCCAGATCTTGGTCACAGCCTTCCAAATCCCTGCTGTAGTTTCTTTCTCTCCATCTCCTCCAGCACTGAATACAGCCCACCCCAGCATGGCTGCCGCCCCAATATGACTTCTCTCCTTCACACTCTCTCCCACACCTATCTCTTTCTTTCCTAAACACAATTCCCATCAGATCACATTCCTGGGTAAGAAATGGTGTGGCTCCTTCAGCTACCAAATGTAGGCTGTGCCTGGGTTTCCAGGGCTCCCAGCCCCTCCCTCTGTGTGTGTGTTCTTTCTTTATTTCCAAGTTGCATAAGTTATCCACCTGCATTGCAGGAAATGTACACAAGCAAATGCAAATGAAAAGGAAGACCCTGAGCTCTCCAATAATCCCATTGTGCAGATCTCACTGTACAGTATCTTGAAAGAGCAGTTCTCAGAGTGTGTGCCCAGGAAGCACTGTAGCTTCCGGAGACCCCTTCTAGGCTGTGAGGTCCTCTCCTCTCCAAATCCACATCTCTGGGAACTAAATTCTTTTTACACACATCAGTCGAAACAGATCTATTGTGACAGGTTGTATGGGGAGGTGGAAATGAGAACACAGATACCATCCATTAAACCAGCATTCAAGAGATTTGTGTTGATATGCAATGCCCTCTTACCAATCTTTTAGACATGGCATTTAATTTTAAAATGCCTGCCTTGAGACTGGGGAGATGGCTCAGCAGTTAAGAGCACTTGCTGCTCTTGCAAAAGACAGGAGTTTGATTCCCAGCTGCTGGCGAGCACCTTTTAACGCCAAATCCAAAGATCTTCTGCCCTCTTCTGGCCTCCTTGGGCACTACATGTAAGTGCACACTGGCATACACACAGGCAAAACACCCACATACACACAGGCAAAACACCCACATACACAGAACCATAAAGTGAAAAAATAGATTGTCTTCGTAAAAGATGTATTTATATTAATAAATCAATAACTTTAAAATCTAATTTATTTGTTTGTTCTCTCTCTCTCTCTCTCTCTCTCTCTCTCTCTCTCTGTATGTGTGTGTGTGTGTGTGTGTGTGTGTGAGAGAGAGAGAGAGGTGATATGCCTACAGAGACCAGAGAACCTTTCCGAGTCACATCTCTTCTACCACTTTGTGGGATTCCTACCTAGGTTGAACTCCCGTCTTCAAACATTGTGGCAAATGCCTTTTCCCGCTGTACCACTTTGATGGCCTGCAAATCAGTAACTTGTAGAAATTGTTTCACTTTCCAAAATGGAAGAAAATGTAACAGATGTAACCTACCCACACAGACACACACACACAAAAAAAAAAAATCTAAAGTTTATCCATAATTTTTAAGTGGAAAGGCACCATGGACCAAGAAGTTTGAGAACTGTCTGATCGTCACAGCCTCATACGAGTAACTGTGAACACCAAATGACACCTGCATCACTTTTGTTTCTCTGTCCTAAATCGGCTCTCCTGATGCTCCCACCAAAGGATACATTCCTTCATTCAGATTGCCTGAGCTACAACTGCATTTGCTCTTCTTAGAAATGGGGGGGGCCCTAACCAAAACTTTCTCCTTCCCTATTTTAGATGCCCACTACCTCAGTCATGTGCAGTGAGGCTACTGATCGCATCACTGTGGAACAAGCTGACTCATTTGAGTCCCCTAGAATCAGCATAGCTCGAAAATCTCCTGCCTGTTTAACTCATTTTAAGTGGCATTTTCTCCTTTGCATCCCTGGGAAACGGTGGTACAGCTTTCTGGGTCTCCTTACATAAATGATCTTATTTGGCAGTGCAAGACCGCTGCATGCTAGGCTCGTACGCCACTGCTGTGTTGCACCCTAAACCCTAAAACCCTTTGGAACAAAGGTTCTCTTTGATCCCCTGCTCCTCTGGCCAGGACCTAGCACCTCCAAAGAGCACTAAGACAGCCTGGTTAGGCAAAGCTGATGGCACCCAATGCAAGGAACGCAGTGCCGACACGCGCCATTCCTCATGAGGACCTTTTTAGGACGGTCCTGGGCAGACTGCGCTGAAGGGATATGAAAGTCTCCAAAGCTATTCTTTTTCACTTGGTAGTTTGACTTACTCTCCATTTTCTTTTGAAAGGTTGACTTTGCGGCTTAATTTATAAAGTGGAGCTAAGTCACCACGTAGGAGTTATGTTTACTTGATCTAGATGGGCTGCCTTGCAGCAGCAGTCGGAGTGGTCAGGGGCTTTAAGGGGGAGACGGAACATGACAGAGAAGAGTGTGAGCCCAAGAGCTGCAGATTCTGCTTAGTTTTAGGTGGGATTTGTTATTAGTAAGTTATGGCATAAGTCTTTAAGCTCAATGGTAAAGAAAAGCCTTTCATAAATATGTTCAGCAGAATTCAACTAAATACACTAAAAAAAAGAGAGAGAGAAAAATCCTGTACTTCAAGGACAAATAACAGTTCTCTGCAATGGAGATGGTTTGCCTTTTTGTTTTTAAACTGTGGATTCCTACCTAATGGAATCAATTTATTGGAGCAAAGTAACTTGGATGAAGCCAAAAGAAGAAAATAAATTATGGTAAGGCAGCTAACACAGATAAAGCAAGCTCTGTAGTGTGAAGGGTAAGATGATTAAAGCCTTTCATTCTCAGGTATGTGTCTAGGAGCTGGATACATCGACAATATAAACTTCATGTATTTTGGGGCTGGAGAGATGGCTCAGAGGTTAGGAGCGCTGCCTGCTCTTCCAGAGGTCTTGAGTTCAATTCCCAGCAACCACATGGTGGCTCACAACCATCTATAATGAGATCTGGTGCCCTCTTCTGGTCTGGTGGCATACATGCAGACAGAACACTGTATACATAATAAATAAATATAAATAAATAAATTTTTTTAAAAAAAACTTCATATTTTTTATTATGCTTTACAATCAAAAAGCTAGAAAAGTATTGCTTCTAAAACCATATGTTTCCCCAAATTGTCTGAAGTTTCCCTTGAGTGACACTCGGGGGCTGTCATCCTTCATTGATGAACTATGGGTCTAAATCACCTTGATGCTTTAAGTCTGACCTCAGTGCATTTCAATAATCACAGAGGTCGCACAGGGCCCCCCAGAAAGACTTTAAGGCTGTCAGGCAGCTTCTATCCCAATAAGCAGAGACCCTTGCATTAAGGAAAACCATGAAGTATTAAATAAAGAATCTCACACTGACAGACACCAAATTCATGACTGTGACCTCCTGATAGGGAAAAGGGAAAAACAGGAATTATCTGAAAGATGAAATTTAAATCACAGGATACACAGAGGTTCAAACACTGTCCTCTCTGCTTGTCTGTATGTCCGATGTCTTGCTACTAAGAAATGTGTTAAAAATTAATCAAGTTTAGAATCTCTTGGACGCTGAGGTTCTTCTCTATCTGATAGTTTGTGTTTTCCCAGGAGGAGCAATGTGAAGTCTGTTAAGTGACTCCGTTCCCTTTCCTTGAGCATAGGAAGAACTAAGGGACCCTGTTTATCAGGAGCTGGCCATCTCAGGAACATCCACCGTGCAGTTCCCTCTGCCTGTGTGAGTTCAACAGCGCCAACCCGGCTCCCTACAGATTTCCTCTCTTGGAGAAGCTAAATGTCACTGACCGTGGCCTCCAACCCACATGACCTTCTGATGGCACCAATGTCCAGCCTGCCATACAACTGAACAGAGCACTCCCCTGGGTCGTGAAGAAACTGCAACGGTCATTTATACAGACTACGACAGCAAATGGAAGATAAGTAGTATTGCTTGTCGTTACAGTCCAAAGAACACAGCAAACAAGTGAAGCACCTTTTAGATCTGTTGCGGGAATAAGCATGCTGACACCAATGGGAAGGAAGAGAGGAGATGTCGCTGCCGAACCAAAGCCAGGACAGCTCCTGAAAGGCCTCAGCTCCCGCTCTCACTGTGTGATTCTGGCTGCTCTGGAACTTGCTAGGCAGACAAGGCTGACATTGACCTCAAAGAGATCTGCCTACCTCTGCTTCCCGAGTGCTGGGATTAAAGGTGTGCACCACCACACCTGGCGGGTTACCCACTTTTATTTGCACTAACCTGGCCACCTTGCAAGAATCTGTCTTTTAACTCTGAAAAGATGAGATCTCAAAATCCTGAGACGGATCTGCCAGACCACTACTCCATCCAGATCATCCCAAAGTACCGTGTCAATGGAACCCTCGAGAAACCCTTCCTCAAGGACACAGGGCAGAGACTGTCGCTCCAGGGCATCGCTGTTTCCTTTCAAAAGACGTTTAAACACGCCAGTTTTGATCCTCTCCTCATGGCCAGAGCTGAGGATGCGCCGAGAGCTGCTCTCGGAAACAGTTTACTACGCACATGTAGATCTCTGAACACATTTGCTGGTAGAGTCGTTTTCACAGAGCATCTTATGCAAGTTAACACAGCAATCAGCAGTGCTTTTAGGCTAGCTGCGGTGACACACAGGGGCGGACGGGACAATAACAAAGCGGGTGTGAGAAAGGCATAAGACAGCGCGCACACGGGGAACATTGTTGTGGGGGACTCTTCATCACACGTGGATTCCTGCTGTGGGACCCAGGCTTTTGCTGCAGCAAGGGCTTTGCACCCGTAAGGTCAGGGGATGGAAGCGGCAAAGGGCATATCCCCCCACTGAGAAGCTGAGACGGAGCGCAGGAGCGCAGGAGATGAGCATGCAAGTCTTGGCCCCAGCTGGACTAAAACAGAAGTCAAAGGAGAAAAGATCGGACTGAAGGAAGGAAAAATGGAAACCCCCCCCCCGGCCCCCAGCGCGCACAGTGGCTCAATGGCTCGGTCAGTCCCCACAAGAGGACATGCAACACAACAGGGGACTGGAAGCAGTGGAGGGAGGGGGAGCAGAGGGTGGGATGGAATGCATGAGAGAATAGTAAACAGACAGACAGACAGACAAGTAGATAAACAAAGGAAGAAGTGACAAGCCAGAGACAAGCGAGGCTGTTGTCACCTCCCACTCAGTCCCTCATTTGTCTCAACGGATCCTCTATTCTGAAAGTCTGCTGAATGCCCAGAAGACATGGCCCTCGGCCTTCTGGAGCTTAGACATTTGCTTGACTATCAAATGATATTGTCAAACCATGAAATACGGTGCAGAAAACACAGTGGCTGTTGAAAAAGGAGCCAGGGACCTGTGTGGACCTGCTGATGACACACTGACAGCCAACAAGCCAAAGGCAGGAGCACTGAAGGCACGGGGGGGGGGGGGGCGGGGGGGGGGGGGGATGGTGGAGGACTTTCCCAGAAAGCCTGAGAGTGGGTATGGGGGTTGCTGGAGACATCCCAGGCTGGAGCGTGAAAGCAACGGCAGAAAACAGGCATACTCTAAGCATGAAAAGCTGATAGATGGCCTTAAAAAGCAAGGGAGATAAAGAGACTTAAGTTTGAGTGGTCCCACTGGATACTGATGTGCAGGTGGAGAGGATGTGGCAGAAGCAGAGAGTGACCAACAGAGCTGCAAAGGAAGACTTGGGGGGTTCACAGGGCAGCAACAGCAGGCAGGCAGGATCCAGGCACTGTGCCTTGTCTTTCTTCAAGAGAGGGGCTTTCATAGCACCTCACACAGACATGGAGGAATGACAAAAAAACAAACAAACAAACAAACAAAAACCTCGTTCTCTTATTTCAGAATGCCTGGTTCCAAGTCTGAGCCCTGCATGTGTGGCTCCTCCTCTTTATGGCACAAGGTAGGGAAGACTGGGGGGAGCTAGGGACTTGGGGGGTCTGGGAAGGTTGGGAAGCTGGAGGCTGGGGGGAGCTGGGGGTAGGGGAGAACTGGGGGCTGGGGGGAATTGGAGAACTGGGAAGGCTGGTGGGGGCTTGGCATATAAAGAAACACCACATTCAGGCTGGTACTCGGCACTTAAGAGTCTCGCATCCCTGCAACTGACTATCAAATATAAACCAGCCACTCTTTCTCCTAAAACATGCAGGACTCTCAAGTGGGAAAGAAAAACACAACACCCTTAAATATATTTTTGTGATGAGCCTGCCACTCAGCATATGAAGCACCCTAAGAAGTCAGGAAGGGCAATAGGGCACCATGTTCATAGAACAGCTAGGACATACAAAAGAATCCAACCGCATTCCTAGCCTTGGGAAAGGGAAAGGAGGCTGGGGAGGAAGGGTGGAAGACCTTACATCCCGCATTTTCTATTAGCTGGAAAATCTCTCCCTACTTGGAAAAAGGCCCAGTAGAGACTAAGGTGTGCAGAAAGCCAGGGAGTGCTTTGCCCTTGGTTTCTCAAAGCACCAATTGAGCTCCTGAAGAAAATCCATCCTTGGACCTCTTCCTGAATAGACTTTTTATTAATCAATGTTGATTCTTGTCCCGCCCCTCCCATGCACTTCCTGAAAGGGCATCTGATTAGTTGCACTGGGAGCCCACAGATCTTAATCCAGCTCTTGTTAAGACCACAGAGGAGAGGGCACAATTCAGGAGAACAGGTAGGACACCGACTTAGTTTGGGTACGGCTCTGGATTTGATCTCCAGCTTGGTTAAGAGGAGTGGGGAGCGGAGAGAGAGTTCAGTTAGCAAAGTGCTTGCCTAGCAAGCCAGAGACCCTACCTCAGACCAACCCCCACCAAAAGCTGGAAGAGTGGCATAAACCTGTGATCCCAATGTTGGTGGAACAGAAACAGGAAGATTCTTAGAGCCCACTGCCCAGACGAGCCGTTCTATGATGTTCAGGTTAACTGAGAAACCTTGTCGCTTTTTTTGTTCGTTTTGTTTATTTGTTTGTTTGTTTGTTTTTGTTTTTTGAGACAGGATTCCTCTGTGTAGCAGTCCTAGCTGTCCTGGAACTTGCTTTGTGGCCCAGGTTAACTTCGAACTCACAGAAATCTGCCTTCCTCTGCCACCCAAGTGCTGGGATTAAAGGCGTGTGCCATCACCCCCAGGAGATACCTTGTCTCAAAGAGCAATCAAGGAAGATACCTGATGTCTACCTGAACTTCCACAAACATATGCACACATATACACGCACACTTTCCCACACACGCACACATACACACACCCAAAAGAAAACCTGTAATTCTAGATCTCTCAGATTCTTAAAAATACATTCTATTTCCTCCAAAGTGTGACTTCACGCTTACTTCCTTCCCAAGGTAAGACTTGTGAAGGAGGCTATCACACATAGCAAGCATCTTACACAGAGACAGCTCATGTCTCAAGAATGCTCACCTATCCATAACCTAATGAAACATGGCCCAGGCGGATTGCTCAGTGGTAAAGTGCTTGCCTTGAAGGATCTGATCCCCAAAGAGCACATAAAATGTCAGCACTGTCAGCACGCTGGTGTACTAGTCAGCCCAGCTGAATTAGCGAGCCAGGTTCAGTGAGAAGATAAGAGAGCTGGAGAGGTGGGTCAGCAGCTCAAAGCCTCTTACAGAGGCTCCAGGTTCAGTTCCCAACACCTGCGTAGAGGCTCACAGCCATCTGTAACTCCAGTTCCAGGGTATCTGATGCCCTCTTTTGGCCTCCAAGGGCACTGGCCATTCACAAGGGCACTTACATACGTTAAGGCAGAACATTCATACATATAAAATAAGGTGGACACAGTATCCACATGCATATACAGACGCGCGCACATGCGCGCGCACACACACACACACACACAAAATCTTTAGCGAAATAGCTCAAACTCAACAGAAGAATAGCACAATGCCTTTAACTCATAGCACAACCCAGACAGGGGCTCTTAACTCAGATCTGATTCAAAAGTACTTCTTGATTTAAAATAGAGTGTGTTGATGAAAATTTCACATGCAAGCGAATTTATAGCCTCACATTCCTGACAATGCAGGTCTTTGTCTCCCCCTGGTATATCCATAACTCTCAGCATGTTTAGGAAACATCCCACATTCTCAAGGGCAGCGAGCAGTCAGGCCAAGTATGTCTACATGAATGATCGATGAATTGCAAATTCGAGGCCTTTAGAAATCTATTTTTACTTCATTGTTTATAAACTTGTGAATAACTATTGCCCTAGAAAAAATTCTGGACCTTAGCAACCCCAAAAAGAATAAACCAGATCTTATGCAACAGAAGGTGTCTTGACTCCAAGCAAATCTAACCCATGAAAATTTGGGTTTACCACAAATATAAACTCGGGAAAGATTATTTATCTTACAAAGTGAGTCATAATGAGTGTAAAAGTATGTTCCATCTCCCCAAACCAGTTTCCCATTCAGCTTTTTGAGAGATAAATATCCTTCCATCTAACAAATGCTTCCCTAGGTCTTTCTTTCAATACTGCCATTTGAGTTGGCAACAGACTTCCTCCTTTAACTGTCAAAGCTGTATTTAATTTTTTGGTTCATATCAATGCAAGCCCGTTAGAAGACTTAAGAGATCTCATTTTACTTTATACTCAAAATATAATTTCAACCTTGAAAATACACAGCGTCCATCTTACCGCCTGGATATTGTTCTTGGGTCCTGAAGGACCATTGTCAGCAGACTGCAGAACAAATCAAATTAGTGCTGAAGACACTTTATATTATAACCTCTTCGCCCATCAAAACACCACCACCCTTAAAACTCCAAGAACTTTGCAACTGTTCTAGCTTTTGTGTAAGCAGGCAGTATTATTTTACTGCTGAAGTCAATGAGCCCCTTGTAAAAATTGTTGCCAGCATGGCTTTCAGAAACAAGACAAGCTGTATTATTCTAAATGTCAGATGATGCCCGTGTAGCGTATCTTAGCTCAAATGTGAAAGCAGATCTCCGTCACTCTTTTAGTAGACGTGGTTTTATAGGCAACTCAACTTTTTCCTCACTGTAGGTTGGTCCAGACAGACTGCGTTCTGTTTGGCAGTCTTGAATGTTTATGAACAGCCGAGCTCCCCTCTAATGCAAACACGTACACTTTGCTTTCTCTTCCTACCACCGCACTTCCCTTCTCTCTGTGGTTCAGCCCATGGATGATAGTTCCACAATACAGAGGACAGGGATTTAACAAAATATAATAAAATAAACTTTTTAAAAAAAAAATCAGGATTTTTTTTTTTTTTTGTCAAAACAGAAGTCACGTAAACATACTAAAATTTTACTTACCTTCATTTTTTTCCCACTTTGGTCTTCTGAGAAAAATAAGTACCTCAAAGGATGAGTGGCTGTTTTTCCTGGTATGGTACCATCAAATGTGTTACTGGAGCTGGAAGGATGGTTCAGCCATTCAGAGCACTCGCTTATCCTGCAGAGGGCAATTTTATTCCCCAACACCCACATGTCTGTAACTTCAGTTCCATAGGATCTGATGCCCTCTTCTGGTCTCTATAGGCATTGCATGCATATGTTACACATACATGCATGTAACTACACACTAATACACATTTCCCTTGAAGCAAATATACACTATTATTTTTTAAAATCCCTTAAAATGATCTCTGAAGCCTTTTGAAGTAATTCATAGCACTTCATTCATTAAACCCCACTGAGAACTAGGTGTCATGTCAGCATCTCCTATGCAGTAAAACTCCAAAGCTTTTAATGTTACATTAAAATATAATCCAGACATCAGTGGTCCACTTATGGCCCTATTAACTGGTTTCTTGGAGTGGGGAGGTCATGTTGTTGGGCTTAACTTGTATTGTTTATTTGAAATATAGGCGGCAGTGAAGAGAATCTGAGATGACTAATCTTGAATGGACTGAGAAGTGCTCGGATATCAGTAAAGCACATGTCTGGGCATGTCTGTGAGGTGGATCCAGAGAGAACTGGCAAAGCAAGAGATGCTCACACTGAGCGGTGGCACCATTCCATGTTGGGGCATAGATGGAATGAAAGAAGGAAAAAGAGGAGCTCTCTAGCTGAAGCACTTGCTTCCTGAGAGCCATGATGTGAGCAGCTGTGATGAACCTCAGCCATCACCAGCTCTTTCTGCCTCAATGGACCAAAACCTCAGCCATCATGAGTTCTTTCTGTCTCCATGGACCAGAACGTCAGCCATCAGCAGCTACTAACCAGTCCTTCTCTCTGCTTCTGTCAGGAGTTATATCACATCGAAGAGAATCTGACTAACTCCGGGTCTAGACCTCTGTGCCAGCTCAGTAGTAACGGCTTTTCCTCACTGTTCTCAGCCTGTGGGTACCCACAGTCTGTAACTGGCACCCAAAGGACAGCTTTTCTGACTCCCCAGACCAGAGCTGGGACCCTGTGGTATGAACACGCACACCTCCATGCTGCCAGTTTTCTCACTGGATCTCTTTGGAAACAGAGGTAACAATGTAGCTAAGAGGGCACCAACTGCCCTCCTAAGGCTTCTGCCTGTTAAGTTCATCCTTGCCTGCTCTTCCCTTCACCCACCGCATTCCTGCCACGCAGACAACCTGTTCTTAACACTCTCTCTTTCTGTAAAGAATTCCAGAAAATAAAAAGCAAAACAAAACAAAAACAAAGCAATGAGTGTGCTCTGTACCTCCTCAATCAAACAAGGGGGGCAGGGTGTAAAACAGGCAGGGGAAGGTTTGGCTGAGAATGGTGATAACAGTAGTGTGTGTGTATGTGTGTGTGTGTGTGTGTGTGTGTGTGTGTGTGTGTGTGCTAGATAATGAGGCTTGATTGTACCATTGACTTGAAAGATTAGGCTTGAAGGGTTTCATTCTTGCCAGACACATTCGGGGCAAAGGAGGACCACTACTTTCCAAAATAAATCATGGCTGACCCATGATCCCTTAACAGGAGGACATCCATGAATCCAGGACATCTAGAAAGTTAGTCAGCATGAGGGAAGAAAGGTTTTCCCTACGTAGATCTGTCACCAAATGAAGTCTTGAGCTTTACACGTTAAGGAGTCCGAAGAACAGCCGTATCAGAAAACACACAAGTACTAGCATGACCTTTCGGGGGAAAAAAAAAATCTGAACGGAATTGTCAGTAAACACTTTCATCAGTTTCAGTTGAACACAACAGCCAGTCAGTGACGGCGGCCAGACTGAACCCTGCTGTTGCTCAAAAGAACAGACACCAGCTAGGAAAGGGCCGCGCATGCCCGTGGTGCACTGCAATGCATTCATCTGCAGTCTTCAGGCATGTGTTTCTCAGCGCAGAGAATTTCGAATGTAAATAATTTTGGCAGTCTGACATGTGTCATTAATAATTCCCATCTTTTATGAAAACTGACACTGAACAACTGTAGTGTTTTTTTCATAACAGCAAACATTGCCGCTGTGACATTAAGCAATCCATTGCCACCCCACAGATTGAGCCATATGGTCCCATCTGTTTCTAGGTTCTATTTCAGCACAGCTACTTCGGGTCAATAAAGGAATTGCTGACCAGAGGATGCAAACGTGTCTCTCACTGCACAACTTTGCAAATCATCAATGCATCGTCTACATAAACAGACAGGAATCTGATGGTGATGGGAATCTGCTCTGCACCTCATGGCCCTGGTGACGATTTCAAACAATGTGTGAAGTGTACACACATTCTCTAAATTGCGTTATTCCGGGATTACCGGGCACTAACCACTCTACTTAATCCTCAGGGAAATGTATAATCATCACCTCAGCCAGAGACTCTGAATCCCTTGCGCACAGAACTTTGCTTCAGGTTTGATCTTCCTCTCAACAACTAAATGTCAGTGAGTGTCTGCGAAACCCATTGCAAGGGACACCCTTGCAAGCCAGCTCAGATATCACAAGCCTCTGTGGCATCCCCAGATGCTATGCATCCTGCACACATTCCCGTGTCACTTCTCTAGCGAAAGGCAAAGTTTTTCATGGGCGGTGATTATCTTACCCATCGGTAGCATTCAACCCATGTACATAATCACTGACGTAATGATAACACCAACTGTTGGTGTCAAAACACAACGGATGCTCAAAAAATATTAACGACTGGCTCTGGCATATTCTTTATGCAGGAGCCCCTTGTTTGAACACCTTTGTTGCCAGCTGCTATGATGACCCAGCTCCCCTCACCACACGTGTCTCCGTTCCTAAGGAGGGAAGACAACAGTTTGTTGCTGTTGTTGTTGTTGTTGTTATTGTTGTTGTTGTTGTTTTGGGTTTAGGTTTGCTTCTGAGGGGAGAGTTGGCAGCTGAAGACATCTTAGTTGTCACAACTAGGGAAGGAAGATGTCACTGGGATCTATCTATTGGCTAGAAGCCAAGGATCTTGTTAAATGTCCTATGATGCAGAGAACAGCTCCTAATGGAATGATCTGGATCTAACAGTCAAAAGAGTAGAGCTGAGGAAGCCCTCACTGAGACTTATTCTTCAACGGCAGTTGGCTCAACCTTACTCTTATTACCGCCCCCCCCAACCTATTCTTTACAAAATCTCTCACTGCTGATGGTCCTAATTAATTATGTCTGATATTTATTTTTGGCTGTCTTTAGGTTTGGGGGTGTTTTCAGTTGGACTTTCAGAAAAAATACCCAATATATCAATACTTTACAAGAAGAAATGAAACCAGGTTTTAAGAATTCTTGATGTTGCCGGGAAGAGAGGCAGTCTGTGAATTCAAGGTCAGACTGTCCTACAAAGAGCGTTCCAGGACAGTCAGGGCTACATAGTGAGACCTTGTCTAGAAAAAAACGAGAAACAAAACAAAAGTGGAGAAAGCACTTAAACATTTACTTCCCTTCCCTTCCTTTCCCTCCCCCTTCCTTCCTTGTTTTCTTTTGAATAAGAGTGTTTTTGTTGACTAGGCTGGCCTTGAACTCATAGATTTAAATGACCCTTCAGCCTCTCAGGTAACTGGAACTTGGCAGGTCCCTCCACCCACCACCCCCAGCTTTAAATACACATTTCTTCAAGGAGGATACAAGGCGACAAATGAGCCCAAGATGCATCAGCATCACCAGGAAGACACAATCAAAACACAGAAAGGGATGGCTTCTCCCTGGCAGAACTGCCACTACCAACAAAAACGGAAAGTACCTCAGTGAGCTGGGGCTCAGAGGCTTCAGCCCTGTGGGTGGGAATGGAAAACGACTTGACCACTACGGACAAGCTTAGCCGCTGTTCACAGAGTTACCATGTGACAACCAATCCTAGGTGTGCACCCTAAGTCAAAAGCAAGCACTTGGAGTTCATGGCAGTTGGATTCACGATGGCTGAGAGGTGGAAACCAATGAATGTCCATCAAGAGATGAATGGGTAAACAAAGGTGGTGCACACCCTGGAGGGATCTAGTTTGCTGTCACAAGCAGGGAAGAGGCTGGCTGTGTAATGTGGCTGAACCTTGGAAACACTGCTTAGCGATGTAAAACAGACACAAAGGATGCTAAGAAGTCAACCTGTGTGGAATATCTGCAGATTCATCAAGACAGTACACAGAAGGGAGGTGACCCGAGGGGGACCGAAGGGGAATGGGAACCACTGCTCAAAGGGCATCAAAATTAAGTTTGAGAAGAAACGTTCTGAAGTAGGGCAGTGGCTACGGGTTCATTGTATGAGTATGCTTAAGGCCACCAAGCTTAAAGTCAAAAATGGTTAAATGGTAAACGTATATTTTTTTATCATGGAAAATAAAGAGTCCATTCCAAGTGTCAAACAATATGCTCTGTTACCCTTCAAGGGCTTTTCTCTCCCCCTCTCTGCCAGAATTAGAAATGGTTTTTAATCAATATTACTTCTTGTAAAATAACGTGTCATGGTTTCGTCGAAATCTGAATAGCCGATGACGGAAAATGCTGAGGAATCTTCTAGATAACCGGTCCTGTGGGCTAATCCCTCTCTGAAGCTGCTCTCTGAGGGACAGTCCGGCTCGGGAGCCCTGGCGCTCTGCCTGCCCTTCAGAGCCTTTCCTCCACTAAATGCAGATTCATGTAAACATATCAATTTCCTCTGAGGGCGGTGGTTTGGGGTTTAGAGCAAAGTACCGTTTTAAAAATAACATTTGCTTCAACACCGAGGGAAGGAGGAATTACGCACTGAACCCCAGAGAGTCATTTTTTTTTTTTTAATGAGACCTGCTTTCTATCTCAGAACCGACTGGCAGCAGCTTTATAAGGCCTCAATCAATAATGCTCAGCCTTTTCTTCTCCGTGTCAGTTTGCCTTATGATGCAAACTCTAAAATTTCAACCAGGGTTGGAAAGATGGCTCTGGCAGAGGACTTAGGCTCGGTTCCCAGCATCCACCTGTCAGCTCAAACCATCCATAACTCCTGTTCCAGGGGCACCAATGCCCTCTTCTTG